TTGTTAAAGAATTACCCTCTGTCTTACTCTGTTTTCTTTTTAATTGAGTTTATTGATACATTCTAGGTATACAGTAAAGTTACATTCATCATTGGGATCTTGTACCTTTACATGACAGGTCTTGGTTCTCATTTTTTCCCCTTGTCCCTGCCCTCCCTTCATCCCCTCCCCAATTACAAACATTTTAATTCCATTTTTTCATTTTCTCACATTTTTTTCTTTTCCCTTATTCGCCTTCCCCTACCCTTCCCACTTTGCCTACACCTTTAGCCCTTTTCTTCCTATTTCACGTTGTTAATTATCCCATTAGGATCTTGAGTACTATTATAGTTTTTCACACCAGAGAAACTATTCGGTATTTACACATGTGTGACTTATGTATTTCACTTAGGAGTATATCCTCAAAATGTATCCATTTTCCTACGAATAACTCTAATTTCTCATTCTTTATGCCTGAGTAGTATTCCATTTTTTAGAAAAAACACACCTTTTTACGCTGTTTTCTGTTGCTATAACAAAATACTACACGCTGGGAAGTTTGTAAAGAGCAGAGGTTTATTTAGTTTGTGGCTCTGTAGGCCAAGAACTCCAAGCGTTACAGGGGTTCTGAGGTACTGTAGGGCCTTCCCAGAGATTCTTTCCAGGATCACATCCTGAACAGAGAATTGGTCAAGTGTAAACATAGTGAAGATTTGCATTTATTAAAGGTAGGAAAAGAAGTATGTTCTGTAGAGCACGTAGGAGAAGAAGCACACTCTGCTGGGCGAGAGGGGGCCACTGAAGAGAGAGAGCACAGTGGCCACAAGGTTAATGGCGGCCATCTTTTTCTTTCGTATCCCTCATTCTGACATCAGACCTAGGCCATCCTATCAAAAACCTGCTTGATTTTTTGCCAGAAAAATTAAAGATAGCATTTTCTGACTGGACCCAGGTGCAGAACTTGGGAACTTGTTTTTCACTGCGTGTGTTCTGGGTCTCTGTGATTACCCAGCAGGTTGGCCACGCCCTAATCTCCTGCCTTACAAGGGCATGGTGCTAATGTATGCTGAGGGCCTTCTTGTGTCAGTGTATGGCAGAGGGCCTTGTATGATGAGAGAGAGTAAGTGTGTTAACTCAGTTCCTCTTCTCTTATAAACCCACTAATGCCACTGTGGGGGTCCCGCCCTGATGAATTTGATCCTCATTACCTCCCAAAGCCCTGCCTGCAAGTATCAACAGGTACATCCAGGACTAAGTTTTTCTAACACAGGCTCTTTTGGGGAATATGCAAAGCTTAGCACCTCCTAATAATTTTCCATGTATCAACCCCTACCCCATACCATCACCCTACTTCTTGGCTACAAACCCCAATTTTTCCGTCCTGTATAATCCAGCCAAGTCTCTCCCCTCTGCTGCGAAACCCTTAAGGAACTGTCCCCTGAACCAAGTCTGCCTTTCTGTTCTCTGACAAGTGTTAGAATTTTTTCATTTGCAGAAGCTGTCTCCGAGGACCATACCACAGGCACGGCCTAGCGGCCCAGAGGCAGTTCCTGCAGCCAGGTGCTGCAGCTGCCCTGCACCAGGAGCTCATGGTGTGGTTCCAGGAGCTGGGGCTTGCTCCATACCAAGCACCTCGTGTTGAGCACTCAGTGAGCTCTATTGTGCTGCTGCTGTTACTATCGTCAGTGTTACCTGGGTTTTCTGTCAGTGCTACTGGCTGTGAAGGATTCAGAGGACACTTGGGATCTAAGTAGGGTCAGGAGTCAGTCTCGAAGAGCCTCCAGAGAAACATTAGCCAGAAGTCCCTGATAGACTATGAGTGCATTTAGAGTTAAACTCTGCAACTGTCCATAGATCCAAAAGAAACAGACCTGACACATTCTGAGCCTGTCATGCCTGGGCTGTATCCCAAGTTAGGATGCTCAGCAGTTGCAAAAGCTCCCATGAGTCCAGCCATTATGCTCTCAGTGTGAGCAGGGGGCTGCTAGTCCCAGAGTGCAAAGTCTTCTGGCCTGAGGGTCCATGGCATTAAAACTGAACAGCATCAGGAGGCTGAGGCAAGAGGATCCTGAGTTCAAGGCCAGCCTGAGCCACATAAGCAAGGCCCCATTTCCCCAAACCAAACTAAACAAACAAAACAAAAACCCCAACAACAGAGGGGGTAACTTTTCAGTAACGTCATGCAGTGCTCAGCGAGGCCAGCGACTGGGGTCTGGTGTGCCACAAGGTGAGAGAGGTGGTGCTTCCATTGGGGTGTGGGAACCCTGACGGGTTTGTAGAGGAGTCCACGGCGGTACAGCGTGTCGCAGAGCCGGGTGGCCCCTGAGCCCAGACTGTGTCTCACTTCACCCCTGTCACAGGCTTCTTTGTCCCCAAGGAGCCTTCCAGGCACTTCCTTGAGGTAGAGGCTTGGGTGGGAGCAGGTCTGGGGGAGTCCCTGGAGCCCCCGTCCTCAGACCTGGACTCCCTGCCGGTCCCCGGGAGCTGGAGGGCGGCATGGACGGGAGCCTTCCCGCCACCTGGCTGCCTCCGGAGTGGCCTGCAGGAGACCTGAACAAGTCCACTCTGGGCTCAGGTGCCACGAACACGACTCCCTTTAACCTCCCACCCCTTTATCTCCCATCTGCCCTCGGGTCTAGTAGAGCAGATTGGATCCTCCACCGAAGCCCGTTATTACTTAACACAGCTCTTGTGTCACTGCGGTCCTTTTCTCTTCTTCTCTCTTACTGGAATTTACTACCCTTGTGACCTCACGCTGTCCTCTGGATCTTTGTCAGAGCACAGACTTCAAAAACAAAGCCTAACGAGAACCTCACTGACTACGCGATTGCCCGTCAGCAGGAGTCAGTCTTCCAGACTCGCGCGGGGACAGGGACCAGGCAGGAAGGGGAACCCGCTCCTTCCTCCACACATGGTGCGTGATCTCCTCGTGGGGCCTGAGGGGGCGGCCTGGTGTCACTTCTGTTTGCATGGCTGCTTGTGCTGTTAGGGGGAGTAGTTAGGGTTAATTTGGAATGTGAGTAGAGTAGTCCCGCCTTCTTCCCGGGAGATGTATTTCAGGCCTGCAGTGATGTTTGAAACTACAGATCATTCTGAATCCAGTGTATTCTGCTTTGAAAAAAGAGGCATTCATACTTGTGACAAAGTTTAATCTACAGATTAGTAAGAGTATTAATAATTAACATAGTTCTTGGCAACCTCAGCATAGTTTTTCTTTTCTTATTTTTTCCCCATTAAGTTTATTGGTACATGTTAGGGATACAGTACAGTGACATTCATCATTGGGAGCTTGTACCTCGACATGACAGGTCTTGGTTCTTATGTTTTCCTCTTACCCTGCCCTCCTCTCACCCTCTTCACACTCTTATTTAATCAAGAATTTTCACCTTTTCAGTTCACTTATGGCTTTTCTTTGACATATCTGGATTGCACGCATCACCATGTCTGTGCTTTGGGTTGATTAGTAAGTAAGATAAGGGTTTCTGAAGCAGATTCCTCAGGAGTTAGCCCGACAGTGGGCCTGATAACGGAGATGACTGCAGGGACCCTAGTGGGTGGGTAGCGTTGTAAGTGTGGCTTTGGCTCATGCCCTGGGTGGGTCACGACACGGTGGGATGGTGTGGGACAGGAGGAGCTTAGCACTTGTGCACTGTGTATCTCTATCTCTGAACCTTCCCATGTAGTAATTTTTGGCCCCCGGTGGTAACTGCAGAGAAAGCAGAACTGTGTATTGGGAGAGGATTGCTGTCGTCTCAAAGTGACAGTGGCAGGGATGACATCTCATTTCTCTCTCATCTGTGAGGTCAGAGATAGAATGTGCGTCATGGCTTTAAGCTTGAGAGACGGGTTTCAAGGATGTATTCAGGTCTGCGGTGCCCACTGTGGAGTTTACTTTTAGATATTCGAAGTGCAGTAAAACAGAAGCTTAGGAGGAAAACAAAGAGAAAGTAAACAGAGAGAATGATCAGAATTGAGAGTTTGATAACACCGTTAGCCTTCTGTGCTGCTACGGTTCAATACAAGTGTGTGACATAGTACTAGGGGCAGTATTTTCAGCATTTCAGCCTTTTAGTTCTTTAATACCTGGGATATCTAACAACACAGCTAATTGCTTTGGTTCTGAGAGGCGGCCCCACATCCTGACGCACGGAGCTCTGCCGGTGACTGTTTTCTTTTGAAGCCCTGGTTCACTGAGTATTTGCACCTTCGAGACTTAGACTTGGAAGTGTCTAAAATGTCAGAACTTGCGTGAAATATTAAATTACGTAAAGGACGTTTTTAACTGTGGCATGCATGGCTCACCGTAGAGCTAACACACACCACCCAAAAGAAAGTAGGTGACTGTATCTTTTATTCTGACTTTCACATTATTCAGTGCTCTATAAAACCACTTAGGCAAGTGTCTTAGGTAGAATATACAGTAAAGAGAGGTACCTGGTCAGGTTAGCTAGAGTATGGCAGTGGAACGCATATTTTACAAAGAAAGATACATCTCATCCTCTGAGGTCCTGGTTTTTGCTTTCCCTAATGTTCCCAGCCAGATTTCAAAAAAAGGCTTTTTATCCACAGCTTTCAGAGAATGTTCCTGCAGGAATCTCAGTAATATTTCTCCTGGGCCTTTTGGGAGTGAGAAGCTTTGAAATGATTTTTTCCTTCCTTGCTTCTTTTTTTAAAGAAGGTGGCAGTGCCACCCAGACCCTTCCCGGCTGCGCCCCCGGTGGCAGGGGGAGCCCTTTGCCCAGACAGGCGCCTCCATTCAGCTCAGCCAAGCTGCCTACTGGAAATGGAGAAATCTGTTGGTCCCAGAGAAAGGTTTTCTTACAAAACAATCTCTCTCCAAACCCAGTTGCCCCACGCACTCTGTCTCTTTCCCTTTCCAAGGAAAGGACCTTTTTGCGGAGTGGTCAGGAGTTCTGCAAGCAAACCTGCTTTCGCGGGTAGAGCTCGATCCGCTCTCTGCCCTCCAACTCCCTCCTGTGACTCGAAGGAGGAGATCTGATAGCCCTGGGTGAAGTTTCAGCCTCCCCTGGCCACAGTCTCCTCCGCGGGTGCCTGGTCATGCCAGGAAAAAAGAGGAAAGAGAAAGGGCAGGCTGGCCTCGGTGGGTGAAGTCGTGCCAGGAGGGCGGTGACACCTTCTCACACGACCTGAGGGAAAGTGCTGAGCTCCCAGCTGCCTGTCACGGTGCCGGTGCGGGAAGAAGAGGTGACCTCTTTATTTTTAGAAGGGGGCTGTCATAATAGCCCTGCCCGGAGCTTCATTCACAGCAGCGAGCAGGCTCTTTGGGAGTTTGTAAACAGCAACTTTCTGAGTAGGGAGGAGCGTTATTTTTTTTCCAAAAAGGAAAGAACTGCATCGCTAGGGTTTCCCCTGATGCTCAGGGGAGGGGGATCGTGGAAGACATTATAGCTTGAAATCCTTAGCGGGGCAAGCAGGTGCCACAGCTGCCTGCTCTGCTAGTGTTTTTAAAGGGCAGAAATGCCTGAAAGTGAAGACTCTGCAGGCGAAAGGTAATCATGATGTATACTTATTTTTTCTGGATTCTATATCATTTGGTAGTTATATTCTTAAAATTATGAATTAAAAGTCGTTTAAACTTAAAAATTAAATTTTGGAGTATCATTCCTTGATGCTAGGAAGCTGAATATTTTTGTCCATAGACTAGCCAAAGAAAAACAAAATTAATATATTCATAGAAACATCTGCTAGGCAGCGTTTTTCTTGAATAAGGAATTGATGATCTGAAATATTTAAAAAAATGTTTTTCATATACAATGCAAAATCGACTTGAATTTTCTGATGTTTCTTTTTTAGTGAAAGGATAGCTGTTGGAAATCTAAACTTATGTATAGTTTTAAAAATGGTTGGATTTTAAAGACTTGCCAAGCCACTGTAGAGTTAAATATTGGGTCAGCATAGTAGTTTTGATATTTAAAACTGTTTTTTTTAAAACCATAGATCATATCTTTGAAATGTGATCATTTGGGCTACCCGTGCAATACAATAATTGTATCAATGTTTGGATTAATACCTAAGTCTAGTAATGGGGAACTCGGGGGAAAGCGGCAGCAATTAATTCCTGCTAATCTGTGCTCATATTGGAAGTCTCCATTGCAGCCCCCTGCTGCCAACAAAATTTATATGAATCAGTTAGGGGTCTTCATTACTGTTGTAATTAGGTCACTGAAAAAAGATATGAAAAAGTAAAAGGAAAATTACTAAATAAAAAGAACAGGGGTCACTGATAATTTTATTACTAAGGAAAGTAGAAACTGGTAACTCTAGGAACAAGAGAACCAAACATACTTTTCAAAACCTTGGTGATATGAGGCACATTTGTGTGTGGTGATTAGAATTAGTTGTAATCAGGTCCCCAGAAGCTACCATTCTCTGTCGTTTTCTAGTTTTCATTTTCTTTCAAGTCCCTTTTTAGTATATGAAAAGGGACATCGCGTTGACATTTAACTGAGGAGTTTTCTTCATAAAATGAGGTATTAAATCAAGCGCTTGAAGATGCCCTTTATAAGAGTCCCTGGAGAGGCATATGGATTAACTAGTGAGGAAAACACTTTTCAGGGAGTTTTAAATGCCAGTTTGGGTTGGAGATGGCTAGTCGCTCCACAGATATTGTATGTATCCTCTCCTGAACATCTGAGCATCTCTGAAACAAGACTTTTTCTTTTCTCCTAGCATGAAAGCATAACATTTTGCACAGAATAGGCCTTTTAAACAAATACTTGCTGCATGGAATGGGGCATAAAGGGCCTGATCATTGGAGGACTAAAGGGGAGAGATTTGTCAGAAATATAATAATCATTGCTTTAACCAAAGGCAACATTACAATTAAATTAAGTAGCGATTTGCTGTTGGCAATAAATATTGTGAATGAACATTTTGTGATGTTCACTACCGATATGGTTCCTTTTCTAGGAATGTTTTACTGATTAAAAAGGATAAGCAAATGAAAACAAAAATGTACATACAGATAGAGAATGTACATTTGTGCAGACATAAATATATTGTGCACAGTTATACCAGTAATTATTATTACCAAGGACAGTAGTATATTTGGTGGAAAGTGGGAAATTCCTCTCACTCCTTTGGGGTAGGAGGCCTCTGCCCCTGCCTCTTTGGTACTGGGGATTGAACTTGGGGCCCTGTGTTCACAAGGTGGGCGGTGCAACCTCTGAGCTAAATCCCCAGTCCTCATCATTCTTTTTTTTTTTTTTTTTTTTTTTTTTTTTTTTTTTTTTTTTTTTT